CCGTGCAGGCCAGTCAAGTTCTTCCACACCAAACTCGCTCATCCATGTCTTTATGGACCTGGCTTTGTGCACTGGTGCGCAGTCATGTTGGAACAGCAAGGGACCATCCCCAAACTGCTCCCACAAAGTTGGGAGCATGAAATTGTCCAAAATCTCTTGGTCTGCTGAAGCATTAAGAGCTCCTTTCACTGAGGGGCCGAGCCCAACTCCTGAAAAACAACCCCACACCATAATCCCCCCTCCACCAAACTTTACACTTGGCACAATGCAGTCAGACAAGTAGCGTTCTCTGGAATTCACTGAGCTCCCATTCTTTCACAAATGTGTGTAGAAGCAGTCTGCACGCCTAGGTGCTTGGTTTCATACACCTGTGGCCATGGAAGTGATTGGAACATTGGAATTCAATGATTTGGATGGGTGAGTGAATACTTTTGGCAATATAGTGTGTTTTCTGCTTTTGATCAAATGATCAAATTGTCAAGTGACAAGAAGTTGCTTTATATTTAAAAAAATAGAAAAATAGTAATTGTGATGTGCAAAAGTTTGGACATCCTTCCATTTCTGAAGTCTCAGAACTTAATTGACTCATTAGGTCTGATTAGGCAGGTCATGAATTATCATTAGGAGTAGACAACTGATGACAATTCAAAGAAACAGAAGCTGGCTTCGACAACAACATACCTCAAAATCCACCACAAACTATTTCAAGAAATGCAAGCTGAAGCTTTTTGAATGGCCCTCACAGTCCCTGACGACGTTGAAAATCTGGTAGATTTTAAACATACTGTTCATGAAAGATGCAGGATATCCTTAGAGTGGGTGAAAATTCCTAAAACAAAAACAGAAAGACTCCCAGCTGGCCATAAAAAGGCTTTTGTAAGCTGTGATATTGTCCAAAGTGTTACTAAGTTTTGTACTTGCTATTTTTTTTAAGTGAAGGGTGGTGCTGAACCTTTGCACAGCGCTTTTTGTAATTATATTTAAATAGTTAAGTAATATAAACTGAGTGTACATTTGTTTTTTGTAACACAGAGAAACAGAAAAGTTGTCCCACCTTACCACACTATGACCCCCTCTACTTTCTATTGCTGGCATCTTCTCCATTAGACTTATTTAGTAGCTGCTGACAACAGTGGCAAAGGTGTGTTTGTGGTTGAGTGTGCGGGCGTCTGAATTACCACCAGTAATGTTTATCTGAATGCCTTCCATACCATTGACCCATTTAGTTCCCCCCACGCTGTGCAAACCTTGAAATGCCTTGTCTTATGTGCTAGTTGCATCACCACGTTTCACCAAGTTAGCCTTAAAAGTTGTAGTTATCAGTAACAACAAAAACATGCTGTAATTTTATTTGAATTAATTTTCAGGAGTGGAGAAATTTTAAAAGTGCAGCTTTTTTTTTGTTTTTATTTCAGAATGATTTGAATTTCAGGACAGTCTTGTTTTGCCATGTCTTTGTCATTTTTTTGAGATGGAAACCAAAAGAAAACAGACAGACGTGCAGACAGATTTTCTGATTCTCTGCTGAATGTGTGACTCCTTTGGAAAAATCAGTGAAGACCACAACTGTACAAATCTACCTTACATTTCCTGCCTTTGATTCTCATTTTTTCCTGTCGCCTGGATTAACGGAAGAGAAAAGGCAACATTCACACAGCAGTGAATGTGCCTTAGCCTTTTAGATATTTGTTTTGTTTGACATTCCACTGAGTCTATTGTTATATAATGCTCAGTGCACTAATTCCCTCTCCTCCCAAGTAGTAAATTGCAGTCAGAGGTAAGTCCAGTTTGTTGTTGAAGGAGCAGACATCACAGTGTAATGAGATAACGAGTTAAAGGGGAAACTCTTGAGGTTAGCCAATTACCATTAGTCATTTGTCTAGCATGGAGTCTAGCCAGCCTGCCATGCGTACTGCCTGCCACCACCTCGTTTGGTCAGCTTCTTCAGGCCCCACAGCTTTTCAGCTAACACTGATAGCATGAACGGCTTGTAATATTTACCAAATTCCAGCAAAGTCTGACGGCCGCAGATGAAAGCTTGAGTGTAAGAGATGAATGTATGAGACAAATAACTTGAGAAAAACAACGTTTAGCACTGTTTTTGTGCAGAGAACCTTCTGTGTACTTGCACAGTACATGCAATCGCCTTTATCCAGCCTTTATCTAGTTTTTACCATTTCACTCAATAAAAATATTTTTCTTAATAAAAGTGAAGGGTCATCCCAGAATAATACACCAATATTAATCTGAGAAAATTGGTTTACTTAATCATTCAAAATGGTTTTATTTGAAAAAAATGTACATAAATAAACTGCACCGTGAAATATACCAAAACCATCAGAAATATAGTTTTTGCCATACCACCCAATTAGCAGTGTGGTATGGGCAAAAATTTATATCAGGGTATAATTAAGATTACTGATGGTTTATATCTATTGCACGATACTGTATATATCACAGTGTATTATGTATTTTTTTTTTACAAATAAAACCATTTTGGATGCTTAAGTAAACCTTTTTTTAAGTAACGATGGCATATTACTCTGAATGTCCCTCCACTTTTAATAAGAACCATATTTAACTGAAGTAGATCTAAAATATTTTTGTTGGGTGAAATAGTGGAAACAGAAATTAAAAATATATAGACAGATATCAATATTGCTTTCTAACCCTAATGAGATAAAGGCAAGTGTATGTTCAAGTTTTCCTGTTCCAGCTTAAGTGGGGCACCAGGTTCTATTTATGCTAACATGCCGTAGTGAACGTACGTGGGACGTTATCAAAGTGCTGGTTCGAAATAACAGATTTCTATGTTAAACTGTGCTATGTAGCTTCATGTTTCCTGCCTGTACCTGACTCTCAGTGTTAACACAGTTAAAAAGACTTTATTAGCATGAGTAATTGGTGTAGCTATAAATAAGATCCATAAATTAAACCGTTTCAGTCACACCGGTTAAGTTTTCTGCTGACAGATCGTTGGTTGCTGATTTTGTTTTAATATAAACGACCCTGAAATCGATTATCTACGGACAAACAGGAAGGCACACATACACACTCGTGCAGTGTGCTGTAAATGGATGGTGTGTGATGATGGGGGACCTTTCAGCTCGAAGCCCAATTCTGATTGATGACTTCACGTAAAAACAGCTCCCAGCAGGGTGTGTGAGTGTGTGTACGGTTGGCACACAGTCTGGGTGTCACAGCTGGTTTGTTCATGCGCCAGCGTGTGTGCTGCTTCCTCCATCCAAAAACATTCTCACGTACAGGTGTGTGTGTGTGTGTGTGTGTGTGCGTGCTGGAATGGAACTGCATAGTGACGGCCGGAGTTTCTGAAAGCAGCAGACATCAAAACAACACAACAACGCAGCAGCACCGCAGCAGCACTAGGACCCGTCTGTGTGTGTAATCAGTGGTTGAGCTTTTCATGAATGAAAAATTCACTCATACTGCTCAGACTTTCTGAAGACAGCCTGCATCTCTTTCTCTTTTTCTCTCTCTATTTTTCTCTTTCTCCTCTGTTGTTTCATTCTCTCTCCTCTCTTTTCTTTCTTTCTGTCCTGTCTCTTTTCTCTCTCTTTCTCCCTCTCTCCCTTTTCTCTTTCTCTCACTTTCTTTTTCCCTTTCTCCTCTCTTCTGTTTTCTTTCTTTCTATCTCCTTTTTTTTCTTTCTTCTTTCTATCTCTTCTTTCTTTCTGTCCCCCTGTTTGTTTCTCTTCTGTCTTTCTTTCCCCTCTCTCATTTTCTCTTTATCTCTCTCCTTTTTCCTCTCCTCTTTTTTCTCTCTCCTCTGTCTTTCTCTTTTTCTTTCTTTCGTTCTCTTTCTTTCTTTCTTTCTTTTTTTCTTTCTTTCTTTCTTTCTTTCTTTCTTTCTTTCGTCCTCCTCTCTCCTTACACTTTCTTTCTGTCCTCTCTTTTCTCTCTTTGTCTTTTCTTTCTTTCTCTCTCCTCTCGTTTTTTCTTTGTCCTTTCTTCTTTCTTTCTCTCTTCTTTCGCCTTTTCTCTTATGCTTCTTTTCTCTCTGTCCCTTTTTCTGCTCTCTATTACTCTCTCTTTTTCTCTCTCCTCTCTCATATTTTGTCTCCCTTTCTATATCCTTACTTTCTCTCTGTTTCTCTACCTCTATCTCTTTTTCCCTCTCCTATCTCCTCTTTCTCTCTTTCTTTCCCCTTCTCTTTCTCCTCCCTCTTTCTCTTACCCCAGTATTTCTTTCTGTCCTATCTATTTTTCTGTCAACTTTCTCCTTCTTACACTCCTTTCTTTCCCTCTCTCACCACTTTCTCTGTCCTATCTCTCTTCCTCTCCTCTCTCCCCTTTTCTTTTGTCTTTCATTTTCTCCCTTTTTGTCCTCTTTTTCACTCTCTCCTCATATTTTCTCTTGTTCTGCTTTCTTTCTCTTTGTCTTTCTCTTTCTATCTGTTTTCTGTCTTCTTTCCACTCTCTCTCTCTCCTCTTTCTTTCTGTCCTACCTGTTTTGCTTCTCTCTTCCCCTATTTCTCTCTCTCTCTCTCTCTCTCTCTCTCTCAATCATACATACATAGCTTAGTTTGTTATAATTATCTGATGAAAGATTTATTAAGTGTCTTGAAAGACGCGTCCCTACAGGAGAACGATGTTTCTGTTGTCTGAAGATGTAGTGAAAAATGGCTGTCTGCTGCCCCCTTGTGGTCCTTTTCATAAGCTGGTTTCCTTTACATTTTTGCCTTGTCTTTGTCACTTTTGAAATCAAAATAAAACAGAAATATTAAATATTTCAAATCAGTTATATAGATTGTCACAAATGTGTACTTGAACCTGTTAATATAGAATGTAAATATTATGTAGGTAACTGTGAAGGCTAATCAATTAATGTACTTGCAATGCAAAGATAAATGTAATTTAGTATGTATTGAGGTCAATCATTATGTACGCACAGTTAATTGAATATTTAGCAAAACATTTCAATTAGCAATCTATTAATTCTTGTCCACTAAACTGTCTCTCTGACTTTTATCCTTTCAGGTATGAAGCGTCCATCCAGCCCAGGGTCTCCAGAGATTGGGCCAGCTGCGGGTTCAGAGCCATGCATGGGGCGTCGTCACAGAGATGGGGACCCCCGGCCAAAGCGCGAGCGTAAGCAGCGGACCCTGACGCTGTGCGAGGTGTGTAACATCCAGCTTAACTCCAGCGCTCAGGCACAGATACACTACAACGGAAAAACGCACCAGCGCAGACTGCGACAGGCCAACCAGGCCAAAAACAACCGGACGGCCAACAACAACACAGGTGAGGACGTCATGGGAGAGTGAACACTCTCAGACCAGCACCACACACACTACCATGCCAATACAATGTTATTGTCACTGCTGTGCTGAGAATGGTCTGGTCAGTGGTGAGCCTGTGATCATTTTTTCCATACACAAGGTGGACAAGGTAGAGGGGAGCTGATAAATTGTGCAGCAACAGATGGGCTACAGTCAATTACTATAAACCTATGGAGTACATCTATATGGTAGTTATGGGTGGCAGATTCCGAAAGGGTCGAATCTTCGACTCCAGCGTTTCTTGGAGTCGGGGTTGACTCTTGGCCAATAACTCACTCTTACACAGTCGAAATGCTTGGAGTCGACTCTTTGATTCTCTTTGTGTTTTTTCATCGTCATTGGCTCGAGAGACAGTGGAGGCAAGTGTAATACAGGAAACATGGAGGGAATTGTAACAAAGGAAGAGTGAGTTTGTTTAATTACTGTGTTTGTGATATGCCATTGCTGCTCACCAGCTGCTGTAAACACAAACTCTGCTCACAAAAACATTTTTGCTACGTCTGCCTCTACTCTGCATCACTCTGCCTACAGAAAACCAAACTCTTTATTTTCTTACAACAAACATTAGAAATGATACAAGGAATAAAAACAAAAACCGAAAACAAAAGCTGTTCAAAAGATCTTTATTAAAGAAAATGGTTCTATATGGAACCATGAATACTTAAAGAATGCTTTGCATGGTGAAAGAGTTCTTCAGATTAATGGAGAATGTGTTGTAGATGATTTTATATAGAACCTTTTTGAAAAGGATTCTATATAGCACCAAAAATGGTTCTTCTAATGTAACAAGCCTGACACTGTAACAATAGAAGAACTGTTTTTGATGATATATAGAATGAACCCTCTATAGCGCATCCTCCATCAATCTGAAGAACGCTTTCATGATGCAAAGAACCCTTTAATCATGCAAAGGGTTCTTTGAGTGTTCATGGCTCTATATAGAACCATTTTCTTTACCAAAGAACCCTTAAAGGACTTTCTTTTTCAAGTGTGTAGGTGTCTGAACTGATCTCTGACTCTTGCTGTGTTATCAAGACCACGTTTGGGTTATGATGTCTCTGTGGAGAGCAGTGAGGCTTTGAAGGTGAGGACACTCAGATTTGCTAGTGTTTGCTAATTCAGTGCTTATATTGCGGATGAGACAATTGTAACTGCTGTGAATGACAGATCATAAAATGTTTTACGGGAATCGAATCCTGAGATGTTAAGCTTTCTAAAGTTATATTTCACCACTGTATTGCTGGATGATTTCATGCATAAAAATAATGTGATTAAAAAACAGAAGTGAATGCTTTGATGGAGGTGTGCTGGTACCTCAAAGAATTACGACAACAGTAATCTATCCCCTCGTCCTGTAGCCTGCTTAAGCTCAAGCTCCCCTCAGCAGCCTCATTATGTAAGGTATGGTAAGATGAGTTTGGACAGTAGTCAGCTGTAATCTTTTGTTAGGCTACCTGATTCACTATCTGTATACTAGGTGTGATCTATGAATTGGGTAACCTATGTTTAGGGCGGTTAAATCGCAGCTATATGCCTTTATTACTGGCTCTGGTGCCGTCTTGGTTCAAATTAAGTGGAGTCGACTTCATTGATCCCAGCAGCAGGGGTTGAGAGTCGGATTCGATTTTAGAGAATGTGTGCATTACTATTATAAGGTAGGTGTTTATGATACAATAGCCAATGAGTGGTGTGACAAGGTTGGCTTACCCAGTGTTGTAAACTGTCTAGTGTAGTTTACAATTATTGCTTGAAGTTTATTAATAGCTTTCCAAAAAAGCTAAAAGGATAAAACTTTCTGAATAGTTAGTCTTGAAGTACACTTGGTACATGCTATCATACACTTCAGCAATAGATCATGAGAGGGAGTCTGTTGTCACAAATAGCATCATAGTTGTGATTCAGGCAAAGGCATGAGTAGCGAATACCGTAGATCAGGGGTCTTAACCGTTTTTATGTATGGCCCTTTTTTAGGGTTACAAATATTTTGCAGTATTTTGTTTCAAGCTTAACAGTCATTCTTTGGTTCATTCAAGGCCCTCTTCTGTAATGAGCTCACCTAATAGAAATTCTTAATCGACACAAAGCCACGGCCGCACCCACTGTGCAAGTACAAGTACAAGCGGCCCTTATCTGAGGTGGTGCTGGGGGGAACATACAGTTCAATAAACGGTTAACGTTAGCTGTTAGAAGTGCAGACTCAAACCTGCCAATGTAGAATGTAAATATTATGTAAGTAACTGTGCAGGCTAATTAACTAGTGTATTTACATTTCTGAATAATGTGAATGGAAATATAAATGTAATTTAATACATTCCTGGGTAATTCGTTATACATAGTGTACATAGTGTAAATTGAATGTATAAGAAACATTTCAATTAACAATCAATTCTTGTTTTTGCAGCTGTGAGTGATAAGCGACAACATACTGAGGAATGTTTCTCTGTTTAGTATTTTTCAGAAAGATAGCACAGCTCACCCTTTGTAGCACCACTTTTTCGACCTATTTATGACACCCCTGTGACCCGCAGGTTAAGAGGTCATCATAACTGTAATGTTATTCACAATAAAACATAACCTTGAATGTTTTATTGCTCTCATACAACAGTTCTGCAAAATGAGTTAAAACATAGAAGCCCCAAATCTTGTAGCAAAAATACTTTAATACTGGCAGTTCTGTCTGCCTCAAAAGTAGTACCTTTTTGCATTATGGATAGAACCATACACGTAACACAGTAGGTTTAGCTCGGCCTTTTTAATACTTGCCAGATTAACCAGAATGTGGTTTTGTTCCAGTCAGTCTGTAAAACACTTCTCAGCCTAAATGTTTGCTGGATTATATTCAGTACCTTTCTGGCTAATTCCAGTTTGTTTATTTGTTTGTTTGTTTTTATGTACGGTCTTTAGGAGTATATAAAATGGAGTGTAAAAGTTTGATCAGCTTCTCTACAAAAATAACCTAATTTATTTCCACCTTAACCTTGTCCTCATAAAACTTTGTAAATAAATGACTTTTCCGTGAAGCGTGGAGAATGCCAATTTGAACAGAGCCCTGAGAAACACTCACTTATTCACATTTACTGTTTTTGTTCTTTGTGCTGTGACAAATTACACAGATTTTACTTTCTGATAAGCCGATTCTCCATGCTTGAGGAGAGAATTCGGTACATCATGGAAGCTTTCTTAAACTTATTCTTACAGATTTCTTTAAACAGATGCACTTTTCTGTGCTCTTTTCTCCACTCAAGGCTGTATGTTACTGTGAGTTTATCAGAGGTAAGGGGTGTTCTTACCTGTGGAAAAATTACTGTTATGCTCAGCCTTAAGTTGCCTTTTGCATTTATAAAAGTGATTATTAACACACACACACACACACACACACATTTGAATGGAAACACATTTAAACACAATATATATTCATATATATGCATCATGTGTCTATGTATATAGACACACACACACACACACACACATACATATATATATATATATATATATATATACATGAATCTTATTTTAAAAAACAATTTTACATGTGAATAAACATATGGTTTTGCTCACTTCACGTTAAAATGTATGAACATAATAATAAGCGCAATATTTCTTCGTTAAAAAATTGTGATTATCGATCCTGATTAATCTGTAATGTCTAAGAGTGAGTAGAGATGAGTTTGTTTCTCTAGGGCAGACTTTCTGTTTTTTTAAAGTTCAGGTTGAACGGGGATTGCAAGCTAAATTATTATAGATAAACATCACAGTCTCACCAACCGGTAAATAAAACCAACTGCACCAGGATGATCACGCTGCTAGAATCACACTTGTTGGCAAACGGAAACAAAGATATTATATGAGAACAGCATATTATAATGCAATGTTTACTGTTACACCACATGCATGTAAGGCTGCTTTGGTGGCATGCCTAATGCTTGTTTTTGTGAATCACAGTATTTTTTTTTTTTTACCATTTTTCCATTAAATATGATCAAAGTAAAGTAATTTTTTTATTTTTGTCATGATGGTGATGATGGTGCCCTAAAGAAAGGAGTTATGCAGACTGTCTTTTGTGTCTGGCTTCCCTTGAAATTTGGTCACAAAGCTCTAAACGTGAGACCCTGTAGTCATTAGCCAATAGCTCTTAACCAAATATGAGAAAAAAGCAAAAGAAACGTTTTTGGAAAGTCCTTTGTATTTTGAGGCCATACGGCAACAGCCTGCAGCAAAGGAGCTGCAGTGCATACAGTGGGAATTAATCCATACACTAGAATTGGACATTGGCCACTTTTGTCATCGAAGCTTGACAAAAAACATATGCATTATGACCATTTAAGCATAAGTGTAACAACACAAAAATATAATTATAAAAACATGAACTTGGAATGTAAAAAGTTGGCAGTGTTCATTGTATCCACTGTCTGTGTATTCATTTACTCCCACTGTATGCATTATAGACTGAAGTTCCATTGTAACATGCTGTTGCCTTATGGCAACTGTAATATTTTATCATTTATCTATAAAAAAAATTACTTCCACAAAATGTGTTTCTATATTTTTTTGAGATTTCAATATAGAATTATTAAACTACATACACAGTTTGAGAAAGTTTCAGATCCTACATCTCACTGTTATTTGTGTGTGAAAAAAAGAAGTACATTCTGTAACAGAAAGGCATGAGATCAGATAAAAGTATACCACTATATGTGTAAAGCCTTTAGGTCTCCAAAGTAATGGAGAAAAAATGAATGCATGAAAATAAAAAAGCACTGTATTACACTGTGTTAAACATAATATACACACAAAATTTACATGTGACACCATTTATTTCTTTTTTTTATTCCAAAATATCTCAAGTATGATCAAATATCCTTATTTTCTTTTATTAAATAGAAATGTTAAGGCATGTGATTTACTTTGTAAAGCATCAATAACTAGTTCTCAGTGACTGAAAAATGATATTTTGGCAGTGAA